AAGACGCCCAATTTCTGCAGGACTTTAGGCAAATGGTGACAAGTCGTGATTTCATCATGCATTTTTCTCACGAGTTGTGTGAACTATGTGTGAATGACATCCATGATGATATGACGCGGCTCTCGCTCAAAGGGCGACTCAGCGGAAATTCTATCCGTATTCTCTCCTTTCATATCATACGATACGATAGCGAACAACGCGGTCAGGTTTATTATTGAACTCTTCAAGGTCGCTCTTATCTCATGGCTAACGGTTTTTTCCGGTTATTCTTTAGTTTGGACATCTTTGTTATTTATGAGCCTGAATTTTCTTTTTGATGTCTTGAGTTCCTACGCTCTCGAGCGTCATAAGTTCTGTGGAATACTACTGCGAATTGTTTTACATGAACTTTTTCAGGTTTCTGTTCCCAAAAGTTATTTATCGCTGTTTATTTAAAACTGTGAATTTTCAAGGCAACTGCTGATCTCGCTTTCAAACCGGATCCACAACCATTGGTATGCTTTTTTGTAATGGAGTTTACCTTGGCGTATATGGTTGATATAGACCACCAGGTGTATAAATGCGCTGCGAAGACAATCACTCCATTATACGGAGCTGGAGAGGGCTTGGCCTCGTACTTCGCTTTGGCGCTGCGGCAGCTGTGTTTCTGGTGGGATTTTCCCAAGCTTCTGGGGTTTTGGGACCATTGTAGTCAGCCCAGCACAAGACAGGGCAACAGACGCCCCACCCTCCGTATATCCGGAATATGGAGAGTATGTGGCGGCCATGTTCGGCTTTCTAGAGAGCAGCGTAGTAGTCCATGCACAAAATAACTAAATACTGATCGCGTAACTTGATGGGTAAGGCGAGGCTGAGTAGCTGGGAAGGAAGGAGCAGGGGAGGGGGGAGAGGGCACGGAGAGGTGTTGCGGGGACTCCTTTCTGCTGTTTTCTTCGCCTCAGCTTCTCTCCTATTCCAATATTCCAAGGCTGTTGACAGAAGCATGGGTCAATAGGTAGGGAAGCGCTGTAACTCGGAGCAAATTTGATGAGTATTGTGTTAGTGTGGCTCAGCATCACCCTTCGCACTGGTTGTAAGGGTTATATGGTTTTGTGGAGTTTTCATGGCATGGGACATCTATAATTGGAATTCCAGTGCAGCAAGGGAAAGGCTGTTGTGCGCAAGAGACTGCCATAGTTCTGGATAGAACAGTGACACATTACCAGGGTCAAACGTTACGAAATTCACAGAAGCGAGTCGAGTTTGAGCCTCCGGAGGGAGGAAATGAGCGCGAACAAGCGGTGCCACGAGTTTTCAATGCACATCTATCGAATTTAAGAAGTTTTGAAAGAGGCCGCAACCCTGCTCTCAAAAATCTAACACAAGTTCTGAGCACAACCTAAGCTGTGCCGCTAATGTGATCGTGGCTAAAACGTCAGAACGCCTTCCTTCGCGTTTTGTAAAGAATAGCATTGCTACTTGCTCATTTCTTCCATAATCTCTCGGGCTGTAGCGTACTCTTCTTTTAGATGGAAGACGAGGGAAACTCTGTGAGACGTCGAGTGGTCATACGTGAGGACGATGACGATGGGCTCCGCCTTCATCCAAAAGATAGAGTCGCTGATGCTGGATGCTGCACTACTGAAGGAGAGACCGAAGATGATAGCAAGTGAGAAAACATATACCATGGCGTTGAGTCACTCATTGCTTCGTTCATCCTTTCTTCATCTAAACGACGGAACTGTTCAGAAAATGTCGAACTGTTCGACGACGTACCAGGAAGGAACTGGAGCGGATACATTTCCAAATGGTGAATGATCGTGTTGTGGAGGATATAACACTGGATATTTTGTACAAACCACATACTCTAACTATACTTGCTTGTCTTTGTACATTCGTCTGCCTATAAAGCATTTTCTGGGTAAGTCCTGCGTTGAATCTTTTTCTTTCTAGTGTTTAGCTGTCTCGAAATTTTGTGGTGCTTTAAATAAGTGTTGAACCAACGTGATACTTCAAATATATTGTTGCAAATATCTAAAAGTGGGTTCTTACTTTGCGGCGGGCGTTTTGAGCGATTCTAGCGTCAACATTATGAGCGCTTCGGGCGCCTCTCAGCGCTTCGAAAGCCCACTAGTTTCGTGTGATAACCGATACCTAAACTTTCTTGGTCGCTCAATATGCTACGAAACGTACAAAACGCTGGATCGATACCTATACTTTCTTGTTCACACAGTACGCTAAAACGTCCGAAACGCTGACAGGCGCTCAAGCTGTCGTGATGTATAAACCCACTCTGATCTTTTTTGATCGTCTTGTGTTCGCCTGGAAAGTCGCATATTATTTCCCTCAAGTTACTGTCCAATGCCACTGCAATTACTAAAGCAAAGTATGAATGATCTGTTCGACGGTAGTATTGTGATTGTTTGCAGCTCATTGCTTTAGAACTGACCGAGGGACCGATTCGAACGTATACGATGGATGTCTTGGCACACTTGCCCTTTTCCTTGTCGTCAGTGCTCTCGCATTCCCCAATGGTTCGTGAGCATATCATATTGTTCAATACATTTATAAAGTTCTCCAACAAGTATGTGGAAACCCCTTAGCTAGGCAGTAAAAACATAGTTTCAAGCAGAATCGCGCAAATGGTCGCTCGAATCGCGCGATTCCAGCGATCTGTCACGAAGTATGAACTCTTTTCTAGTGTGGACGGCTTAAAAATGCCTAGTCATGGGACAAGTTTTTCATTCCAGTTACTCGGCTGAGTGGGCTTTTTATATTTTTGTTCTCAACAGCTGAAAGCAACTTAACCAAATGTCAAATCTAATGTCTTTATAGGGCCGTTTATCCGACCACACCCTGTTTTGTGGAGAATTATTTTCGGCATGTCAGTAATATATTTGATGATACTCCAGTTTACTCTATTTCAAACCTATGCCGACATTAAAAAGGTACTCTCATGGCTGGATCCTGATGGTTTGAGTAAGGAGTCTCTCGAAGAAAAGGTAACGCTTTTTTTCTGTCCATACTACTTATTTTTAGTTGTGATCGTTGATGGCTACTAATCTGTCTAATTATCTATTGGTTAAATTTGAAATACCTCTTTTCTTGAATCGCTACTTTCTTTCTTTCAGTTCTATCTGTTCCTGTTTTCACCACAACATTTTCCAACCTTTTTCTCCTATTTGTATAAGGTCACTAAGAAATTATGCAGGATTTGAATGAAATGAGAATTAGAGTAGTATTCTCCAGCTACTCTCTTCCTCCAACTTTCGCCAGCTCAACCTCAGCCTGTTGGTTGAGAGTGTTTCACATCTTTGTGCATTAAGAGGCTGCTTCGATTGTGAACATTTATTGAATAAGGCTCATCTCTCCCCGAATGTCGCCGTCCTCGATGCAGCGCATGTCGCCACAAAAAAGGAAGATTGTCCGCCTACGCCGTTTCCTATTAAAACATACAAGTTCGTGGGGTTAGGATATGGGTGCTAACGATCGACTCTTCTGCTTTCTCCTCGGCAAAAAGAAGTAATTTCATGTTTAGGACATGGATATAACACCGTCCTTAGCTATATTCAAAGCTAAAACAGTTAGGGCTGAAAAGTGCCAAGAAACAGTTGTAGGCTGAAAGATTTTGCCTAAATACAAACGATTGTTGCCCTTTTTGTTGATTCTTGACTTTAAAAGATCAAACATTTGTTGTTTTCAGCTTCTGTGGGATTTCTCAGCAAGTGTCCGGTGAATCTTGTTCGTTTTATTCTAATTTTGCTGCTAGATTAACGCTCCAAGTATCGTCAGTGAGTGAAGAGCCGATGAGTCATCACTCAGCCACGTGGCCCCTCCCAACTACGTTAGCACCGAATTATGTACGGAATATCATATTGAGCAAATGACCTCCATATCTTTTCTATCCACGACGTCATTCTCTCGGCACCAAATCGATGTTTCCTGAGTTTTGCTTTCACTCTCACGCTGATCTGGATACGATTATTTGTACGGCTTTTTCTTGAGTCGAGTGGGGACGTAAACAAGCTTGCCCTTGAAGAGGGAACCATTCAAACAATATTATCGGAGCAGTGCATGAGAGTGTTGGTTAGGGCAGCGTTCAGACTTCGCGACGGCAGCGCTTCGGTCGCGCGTTCGACGCGATCGATGCGCATGCTTTCGACTGCATCGATCGCGTCGAACGCGCGACCGAAGCGCTGCCGTCGCGAAGTCTGAACGCTGCCTAACGTTCAGAAACATCAGTTCAGCCTCGCGGACGACGTTGCTGGTGCGCCTGCAAAGCCGTAGAGCTCATTTGTCCTATGAGTAGGTTTTCTGGTTCATGGGGGTGATATTTCGACGCTGCGAGTTTCTTCTGCTGCTCCTGTCAAATTAGACGTCTCACCTCGGTAAGAGCTCCAAACTCCTATCAAGTGTGAATTAAGCTCTTGCTATAGCTAACTCTACAGGAATTTACTGGTCTCCATAAGAGGCCCTGACATTCGATAGAAGCCAGTCAAAACTCATACCAAGCCAAAGTGCGCCGATGTACTATCCCATGAACAACTGCCTTTTGTATCCTTTATATTTTTTGAAAAACACCATAGAAGACCATGTGTTTTCCTATTTAATTCGAACCTGACGTAAATTTTGAGACAGCTATATGTGCTCTACGTGTGCTCTGATTATGAGAGTAGTTTCAGGCTTATGCCGTGAACTGCTCTGATGTAAGTCTGGAACGAATCTGGAGTCACATCGATGTATTTGCTGTGGGACACTTCCTTGGTTGGGCTATGAAAGCATTGCTCATACGACACGGAATACTGTGCTGGTATATAAGTATCGCGTGGGAACTCACTGAGGTATGCGAGGAGAAGTTTTCCATTGTATGAGATAGCTCCAAATAGTGGGTTTTAGGTCGTATTTACGAAGCTCTTACCTAATTTTGAAGAATGTTGGTGGGATGCTATAATTCTGGATGTACTACTCTGTAATGGGCTTGGTATTTGGTTTGGATTAAAAGTTTGCAGTTTCTTCCGAATGCGGCAGTTTCACTGGGAGAGTATCAAGTGGGTTTTTCTTGTTGCCATGAGTAACTGGAACCGCTAATAGTTAATCGTATGATTCTGCCAAAGATGTCGGAATTGATCTTTATTATTATTATTACTGTTTCAGATATTATAATGTTAGCAATTTCAAGGCCTAGGCCTATTAACAGACTCATTTTACATAGTACAGCTATCTTTTTGTTACAGGGACATTAAGTCACATCGTGGACGCTTCAAACGTGCTGTGATGCAGTTCACCCCGGAAAGTTGGACGGAACTGGACTGGTTCAACTCGACTGCTCTAAGAAGAACTATGGCTGTATATGTGTCTGCTGATTTGGCTGGTCTGGTCAGTTTGTTCTTGTACTTATGTTGTTTTTCGTTCATTTTGGTTTTACTTTGGAAGTTCTTTAAGACACCCCTTTTATTCTGTTATGATTTATCCACAAATAGCTGAGAGAGAGTGTGCGAGAGCATCACATTTTGATGAATTTTAGCTCACTGAATTGAATACGTTTTTCCTGAAACATGTATTCGCTGTGGACACAAAACATGCTGTCGTATTTTGGCGGATAATTCTCATCGCACTCATTTCTGCGCCCTCAATAAGGTTAGCATTGCAATTTGAATTGTGTTGAAACGTTACTTTATCATGAACTGTGATCGTTGATTGATAAGATCAGGAACAAGTGCGCGCAATTCTTTGATAGCTGTGCATGAAGGCATGGCTTAACCTCGGT